ACTCCCTGCTGAATAGCTTTACATTTTAAAAATTACGATAAACACCATTATTCCAGCCCAGCACTACTTTATCTCTGTACTTTTGCATGCAGAAAACTAAATTCCATTCTTATAAACAGTCTGTGAAACACCATGCCACACAACTTGAGTACGAGGTTTTGCCACCAAAGGGTCTTGTCAAAATATAAAGACACAAACAGGATCATTTCTCTTCCAAATGTAGGCATTTTTACAACAGTGAGGGACAAGGGGTCAGACAGGTTGCGTCTTCCCAGGGTGCAGAGCTTGGTTGGTGGCCGTTCACACTGGGACAGAGTGGCAGAGTCAGCTGTTGTCTCTGTGGGAGGTGTCACGGTGGAGGTCGGCCCACGAGCTCAGACCTAGACCAAACAACAAGCAGAGTTGTTTGCACTCTGTCCATCAGCACCGACTGACCAGTACTTGATCAAAAGTTTTGACTTTTAACCTAGAACACACCCAGAACTTGGCTCTGCTTCCTCCATATTTGACTGGTGCTCTTCATTCCCTGAGGTCCACCCTGTTCTGGAACATCACGGCCAGGCCAGTAGCAAAAAGAAAAAACCCTGGCAGCTCTCCTTCAACACCAACTGCATTTCCCAGTCTCTCCATCCAACATCCCACACACAAACTCTCACTCCAGGAATCTGCTAATCTATCCCTCTTCCTCCTCCTCCTCCTCCTCGTCCTCCTCCTCCTTCTCCACCTCCTCGTCTTCTTTCGCTGTTGGAATTACTGATGACTCACTTTGACCAGATTAAACAACTATTAAGGGAGTGCAACTCTAGTCTGTTTAGATTATAAAAACAGGAAAGAAATTCAATCAAGATCAGATGCAAACAGCAGAAATAAGAATATGTGGATCTAGATATTAGGGTAAAGCAACCTGACCCATACTGCACGTTTGGTTATCACATTGGTTAAATTCTTGCATTATTCAGTGGATGACCTGGCCTGAAAACCTTAGTTTGTTTTTAACCTATATTCACTCCTGACCTTTTGACAGGCTCCAGAGATTATGAAGGAGCCTAAACAGGAGGTGCTGATATTTAGTCAAAGTCACGTTTCTGTGTCTGTGTGGAAAGGAAGCAGAGATAAACAGACTACAGCAGACACAAGCTCATGTGAAGTTAAAGGTACAGTGCGTCAAACGTTTGAGGAAATATTGTTGTCTAACAATGAGGCTATAGCGTTCCATGTATCGAGGACTCCCCCGCTTAACCCTCCCTTCCAGGGAACTAATGTGGTCATTTACATTCCATAAGTAATGGGAAAGCTGCCTCCTCCTTACAGTACTGTTGCTGTTTTCTCGTACTTATGGAAGTGAGAATCCGTTCACCATTGTTTACATGTTAAGGTCCTGTTTCACAATGTTGAACCAACATCCATACAATTAGAAATCTATGAGAAATGTGTGCAACAGTCTGAATTCATTACTCAAGCTGATGATGTGAACTGTAAACAGTGGATTCATGTAGCATCCATCTGACTCAGACCAAATGGATCTAAATAGAATTGGGCTAAATATGTCTCAAAAAATGTAGTATTTCTAAATGTTACCCTTTTCCTGTAAACATGAAGTGCTATTGGCAAATTATGTCTGTGCTAGTTTCATTTCTAAGCTGCTTTTGATTGGCTACCATTGCTGAGGTAAATGATGTTGACAGCATGAGGCCCAGATCTGACCAGAAATGATCAATGTCTCACCACACGAGGCCCTAAATAACAAGTAACATGTCTGATATAGGCAGTATCTGCTCTGTCGTTACATGGACCCTATGTTGGCTTTCACCACAGTTTTTAGTGTTGCTGGTAAAAATGTCACTACGCAGTTAGGGGGAGATAAAAGCCCCAGACAGGACCACAAACTTCCTGTTCTGGACCTCCCATGGGTAGATGGAAAAACATGCAAGTCATTCCACTGATGTCACCTGATCAGTGATGGGATGTCTGGACATTTCTACACCCCCTCTATGCTCCTCGCATGTCTTCTCCTCTGTCCAGATGTCCCGTGTCCTGTTTGTTTTACAAATGCAGGCAACACATGAAAGTTCTTCTGCTGCTCTATTTAACCTTAATCAGAACTCAGTGTGAATGGAGACATGAAGATCCTTGTACGTTCAAAAATGGGACAACAGTAGATGGTAGAGGAAACATCTGGGTTAAGGTAAAAACCTGCCAGAAAAGAATGCCTTTATTACATTGCTTCATTATCATGGAACCCCACAGTCACATTGTATTGTATTATTAATTCTACATTATCTCACTCCCGACTTGACCATCCTCATATACAGAGACCTACTCTGTGTTGGTGCATTATGACATACAGCAGCTACAATCCATCAGAGATGCAGATGTATCCTTAAAGCACCCTGGAAGTTGGAGAAATCCCCCACAGCCGCCCTCACGTGGTGTTAATATTCTCCAAACATGACATATCTCTCTGTTGAGCAACAACGATACAAGATTAACAGCCTGTGTCTCATCTTCGAGCGTCACGGAGTCCAACTTAAATTTGCTCACTCACACCTGCTACATTCCGCTATCCCGATGTCAGAGATGTTTTCACTCAGCAGGATGTGACTTCTGCAGTCATTTCTAAAAATCCTTCAATTTCAACATCATTGATCATTCCTGGCAACAAGTGACTAAACTCTTTCAGTTCTAGAGGAAATACATTTTTACCACCAAGCTTATTTATGTTTTGAATTGAAGAAACCAAAGTACTTTTTAATCTATTGCAACAGCCTCTGCAAATCATCACATATTTGCTGATAACTTCTTCCTGCAGGATGCCAACGAGTTAAGCTCGGAGATTTAGATTTGTCAAACATTTGTCCTCATAAAGGCTCACTGATCAAAATCTTTGGGAATTATACTTCGTTATCAGTCCTAGTAAAATCTGATAAAGAACAACTTTCATAACAAGGAGTGACAGATTTGCTGTTCTTTATTTTCTAAATGTATCTTTCCTTATTATGAGAAATTTCTGAGCTCACTTTATTCTACTGTGCCATAAATTCTTTTCTTTTTTTTAACCAGAGACAACTATAAAGTCCTATTTAGTAAGTTTAGTAACTACTTTGTCGTATTTTGATTAACTTCAATATCACCAATAATATAGTTCACTGGCAAATAATATATTTAATATTTTAGTAAAAAAAAAAAGTATCTTTGATTAGATTTGCTTTCTTTAGCCCTCCCTACAACATGCACAGAAATGTCAATGAGAAACAAAAAATACATTTGTCTACTTTCCAGTATTACATCTGATACTGTTAGCTTGTGGATTTATTTAATTGTAAAAAATTCTCTAATTTAACCACAAATATGTCTCCTCTAAATTTCAGTGACAGTGAAGACGTACCTCCAAATATTTGAAATCACATCTGTGGACACCTTCTGTTTGAGGATGAGTAAGTCTGTGTTTACTATATTTGGTCATTCAAAATAGATGTTGTTCAAAAATACTGTTCTGATAAAACCTAACAAACAAATGTTGCAGCCAAAATGTAACCAAGTAACTGTGTAGTTTGCATAGAAAAGTTGGCTTTCGTTATTTTTGTGTTCAAAACATTCTTATCATATTATGACTTTTTTATCTGCTTTATTCTGTTAAATGTTACAGCAGCCTAGCATCGGGTTCTAAAACTACTATTCTAGTACTTGAGTCCAGGATTGAGGCTGATGATTTAAACTCACCCTCTGGGACTTAACCTAAAACTTAGTCAGACGTTGCTGAAACTCTTCAGCCTTGTCCTGGATTTAGATTGAAACAGTTGAGATGCAGAGTTACCAATAACTTCCAAACCCAGTTATGGTCTGTACATTAAAAGCTATGTCATACGATAGGGTGAAATCTCTCACTGTGCAGCTACATCTGGGGACCAAAAAACTGAAGAATTACTGTGTAATGCTGACTGAAAAGGAACATAAATCCTCAACATCAATAGGGGCAGATAAGGAGGGGAACCCAGATGATTTGAATCAGTGAATTATTAAAATGAGTTACTGTTAAGAGACATATGGATCACTTTTGTCACTGTCATTCCATTCGGAGTGACGACACACATGTCCCCACACACAGACACACGTTTCAGCTACTGGAGGTATTCTGCCCCACCCTCTCCTTTCCTCCTCCCTCCTCCCCTCTGCTCGTCTCCAGCCTGAGTGGAGGAGGCTGGGCTGAGGAGGTGAGAGCAGCTTCACAGAGTTCAGGCAAAAGCAGGAGGCAATTGTTAAAATAAGTGAAGTCACACAAGCACAAAAATAAATAATCAGAAAGAAAAGTCCATTTTGGATTAATCTAATTTACAGTTAAAAACAAAAAGCAAAAACATATTTAAGCATAACAATAGTTAGTCAGTCATCATCATGACTACACTGAATAAGAGACAAGAGAGTTGGTCCAAATAGGCTGCATGTGACTGCAGCCACCGGCTCAGCCCTGAGAGTTTCACCTCATCATCAAACACAGTTAAAATCATATTTAGAGAATTTAGAGAAGAATTCAATAAAGTAGAATAGTCAGATCTTTTCTCCACTCACCTCAGCCTCTGTCAGGTCCAGGCTGGAGGACAGAACCGCCAGCAGTAAGAGAGTAGCGGACGGTAAGATCATGTTGGCGCTGCGTAATGGTGCAGAGAGCGCAGTGAAAACTACCACCTGTTGACCGCTTCTGCTCCTTCTTCTCCGTCAAAAGTCTCTGTTTATGGTCGGAGCTCGGGCAGCACGTTTGGCTGCATCTTTGTCCGAGACGATGTGAAGATCTGATCAGTGCAACTTGGTCTAGATTCTTCTCTGTACCACACCTCCCACCTCAAAAAACGACCACCCTCACCCATGCAAAGGGACGCGCTCAACTCTGATGTTACCAACACTTTTGACTTTTCTCGTTGAGGAGAGGGACGACTCTAAGCTCATTTAGCGGTTTTTATAACAATATCTGAAAAGAAAGACTTTTTGGTGCCACTCTTTTCCAGGACCGGACACCTGGAACTTTTCAGAGAGCAGCGCTGCGCATCGGTGTTCTTCCACAGTCTGCTCCGTTCCTCACCGTGCCATCGGTGCGCAAACTTCGGTGACTGTAAGTACTGTGCCTTTTTTTTTACAATGAGAACTAAATAATAACTTCTAATAATCTCATATGCCGAAAATGTGCAAAACCTTTTATTAAATTTAAATTTTACACCATGGTAAATTTCTTTCGACCCTTCTTTGATGCTGATGTGCTTTATAATCAAGTGTTATTTTCTATGACTTAACATGGAGATAACGGTGTTTCAGCTCAGGCAGTCATGCTGTACAAGTTCCTGTGAGTGAAGACAGCAGAGTGGGACTCAAGAATTTCGGTCCTCATGAGAGGGACCATGCAAGGGCAACAGAACAGAGGACTGACCACTCTGAGGTACACACACGAACCACATGAGAGTAATTCACTGCAGGGCATGAACTTCCATCATTAATTTATTAGTGAACGCTGCCCCTGTTGTTGACTGCAGGCTGCTGCTGCTGCTCCTCTGCCTCTCCCTCACCATCCTCACCTCAGGAGTGGAGGCGGTAAGTTTTCTCACCCACATGTACTCGGTATTTGTTTCTACCTGGAAACCCCACCGTGTGTGAAAATCTAACTGTTGGTATGAAGGTGCTCAGCAGACACACACAGACTTCTCAGCACTGTGCTGCCTGTGGGAGTGTCTGTTGTAGGGAGTTCCTCCAGTGGGGGGAGGGGGGGGGGCTTGGTATTGCTGTTAAATAGCAAAAACTGAGACGAGTTTCTTGTGAAATGACTCGTGTTGCAATGTTTCTGTTTAGAATTATACCAATCCAAGTGTTGTTCTTTACAATCTGAGCTGAAGTGGCTCAGATTGTATCCACCAAATCTAGTTTATTATGTGGCTTTCACCCAGATTGTGTAAACACATATAAATAAGCGTGATTTTTGTTGATGAAATACTGGTCGATTCTCAACTCTAAGTTGATCTGAACAAAAAACTTTATAAGTTATTTTCTAAGTTACAAATAATTTTACTGCAGGTTGCAGAACAGCAGGTGATAAACAGAAATAGGACACCGTGTAAAGTTTCATGTTGTTGTGTTCTGACCACCCCTCTATACTCCCGTCCTGAGAGTGTTTGGGCGTGAGGTCATGACCTTAGTGGGTACCATCATATGTGGTTTTTTAATGTTTTAGTCTTCACTAATACATAAATGTAAAGGGAAGTCCTGATAGGAAAATGAAAACTAGTCAGAGCCAGTTTATTGTGCTGAAGGCGGGACATGTGGACAGTAATACAGTCATACAGTACGTGTGTGCGATTATAAAATAAACAGAAAACAGAACTGTACGAAACCAGAAGCATGAGATTTCTGGTTACATACTGTTTTCATTTGTGACTGTTTTGTTTTTAGCAAAAAAACAAGACACACTATAAATGACTGCCAAATGAAACAATGTGCAATGTGTTTTCAGGATTTACGTATAAATCATCTAGTCGATTTCAAGGAAAAAAGGCAGTAGTTTTAGATGCAACATGTTGACACCCATGTTCACCTTTAGGCCATTCTCCTTTTGAAGAGCAACAACTGGTGTAAACCTTTTTTCCTAAAAAATAACTATTAGTATTGACCATGACTACTCTGGTCCCTGTAGTCCCTCAACAATACTTCAAATGCATCTAAAAATAGAAATACCGAATCGCTGCTATTGATCCGGAATTCATAGAAATTTTTCATTCACTGACTTCACGCGCCCTTAGCTTTATGTTTGTGACTCTTGTTTTGGTTTTGTTTTGGTTCTATTTTAATTCAAGTTTAATGTTTCTAGAGTTTTCTATAAATTTGATCACATTGAAACACGAACCTTCAGTTTGATAAAAGAAAGACCTGTGGGATGGGCTTTTTATAAGATTTTACCATGTCCTGACTGAGCATGTGACACAACTCAACTGTACTCTGTTTTCATTCAGCGATTCTCCAAGGTGGTGATACTTAGAAGCAAACGGCTGGATTCAGTTTGTCACTCTCCATGTGCTCGGTTCAGTCACGTTATCTCCCAAGCAGGGAATCAGAGCACAAGAGAATATGTTAAGTAAAGACACAACTGCTTTAGCTTCTACTGTAAATGTGACAGAGAACAAACATGTGGTTTTTGCTGGCATATCTACAAGTACATCACATCATTTTACTGATGTTTTACTGAGGTCAAGGTTTCCAGGTGCTCAGAATTGATTTGATATATGATAGTGTAACCGGAAACAGTAATCCATCACATCGTTTCTCATATCATACTTTCTCAAGCTGAACTGTGTCTATTTCTGGGTGTATCTGTTTCTGGTTAATATCAAACCCAGATCTGACCCTCGGGACTGACGCGTTTTCTTTGAACCAGGCCCTCGTCTCTGTGCTCTCTGAC